CTTCGGAATTCCTTGTCAAGTCCATGATCCAATCAATGAGACATTCGTCTAGGTGAAGTAGAGTTCCTCAAGAGAGAGAAAGGAGGACGTTCACGTCGAAGAGGTGCACAGAAGCAGAGTAGCTTGGCATCAGCACAGGTTCAATCCAAAGAGGTAAAGGAGCAAAAGGGGAGTCTGTGAGAACGATTCAAAGAGAGCACGGCAATTTGGACAGACAGTTAGAAAACGTACATGTGTGTGATAGAAACGAATAGAAAATGTGATCAGTTTTTAAAAGATTGGTCCGTTCCGACTGGTTTCTGTCTCCCGTTCTCATTTTCCGAGTGGTCTCTTACTCGTTTTCAAGCAATGGCACGTTATAGCTTCACGGAACCCAGGTAAATTTGAATTAGGAGCCTTATGTACAGTATTTTTCTTCCAGAGAATTGTTTGAGAGTAATATTTTCTTATAAACGATTGGTTTGGGGCTCCGTATTGGTGGGATCCCAGGCAATTGTCCTTTTTCCCCCATAGGATCACGCACCACTATCTTCAATGCTGACTTAAGCCACAGGACATTTAAATCGACACCAAATTCCGAAACTGGAGAACGTTTAATCTTAGCAACTTACATTGTTAATATCAAATCAAGAGTTGTGTTATGTGACAAATAATATAATAACAAAAGAAACTCATATATAAGCTGTATTCCTTTATATATTAAATTAGATTTTTTTCTAAATAAAAAAAAGTGTTATATAAATTAAATTACAGTATTTACAATTAGATTAACACCAATAATTTACAACACGAAAACTAAATATTAAAAAAAAAACTCGAAGCCATATCGCATGTTTACAAGAATTTTATAATTTAAATTATACTTTACCTGAATAACTTCAACTGAAGAGAGTTTTTCTATTGTTCTATTGTTCTATTTTTCTATTCTTCCAGCTTCATCTAAGTGTAGAAAACTTCAAGAATGGCCATTCAGGAAAGATAAATTGATAACAATTTCCTCAATTATCATGTGACAGAATTTAAATCGAATGATTAAAATGTGAAAAGATAAATACTGGTACAGTACGTGTCCTTTTATTATCTAAAAATAAAGTATATAAAGTATTTATTTATTTTCAAGACATTACAAATGAAAGTATATCAGAAATTTTACTCTTGTATTATTAATAATACACTATCTATTTACAAAAGATAAATTATCAGGTTATTAAAGCAATAAGGAAACAATTATACACATAAATCTTCACCATTTATACCGGTAAATATGGAATAAATTTTAGAAGCGAATGAAGAATGAGTACAGTCAACCCCCCTATAACACTGTTAATTATTCCGTTTTATATGAATTCCATGTTATACGAGTCACTTAGATTTTACGAATACGTGTGCCGGGCTGTGAACGGCTCACATATTTGTAAAATCTAAGTGACTCGTACAACATGGAATTCCATTTCCATTTTTTTTCTTCTCTTTTATTGTTTTCTTCTAAGGAATTTAAAGTAATTAATTTCAATTTAATTAAATACATTAAGGAAATAAGGAATGAATCTTGGGCTGCAATTTGAAATAATTATAGGGCTGTAAATTCCCATTATTGTTGTCTGTCCATCTTCTTTCCTTAATCTCAATAAAGGAGTTAGATAGATGAAAGACGAGACCGGATATGGAAAGCTTAGGTGCAGGAAGTCCGGATTAACTAAATACGAACTTCCGGTCTAGAATGTAAATCACGTGACTTTAAGTCAAAAATTCCCCTAAACAGAGTTAGATAAATGATCGGCACGACTCTATTGTTAACAGGAAAAGAATGATGTACAGGAGGAAGAAACTACTAAAATCAAGGCCTACATTTTAAATTAAATAAATTTAAAAGACGTCGCGATAAACTTGAAGCCGAGCCGGAAAGAAACAGGTGATACAGTAGACCCCCCATAACACTGTAGGTAATTCCGTGTTATATGAATTCCATGTTGTAAAATCTAAGTGACTCGTACAACATGGCATTCATATTACACGGAATTATCTACAGTGTTATAGGGGTCTACTGTACTTGCACTTGTAATTAGACACTGAAGAGACGATTCTTATATCTTATGGTCGTAGACGGGAGAGTTTTGCACTCGCCTGCGATGGGAGAGGAGATCCTTGTACTATACATGCCGACGTGGACACCTATTTTCTACGTTAATATGGACCCTCATTAGATTTTTGGATTCCTTAGCGCAATTAATAAAAAATGTCAAAGTTTTATCAAAATTGGCTCATTAAATTATGAGAACGAACTCAATTCTATAAGCCCATAGAAGACGTGTTAGAGACTTGCTTCTCCTTTAATCTTGTATATCAAAAACAAAGCCATTGATCCCATTTTTATAATGTTTTAGGATTCCTCATCGCAATTAATAGAAAGTGGCAAAGTTTAATACAAATAATCGAAATCGAATGCAATTTTGTAAGCCACGTAGAAGAGGTTTCAGTTATATTTTTATTGATCTATGTTATAAATTGTTACATAACTTATGTGTAGGCGTTTATGGTTAATTAACACGTATAAAAAGTGCAGATTATATAAAAAAAAAGTTGAAGAAAATAAGGACAGCAATTAGAAAAAAGTAACCGCGATATGTATCAACATATAGGCCTACGTTCCTATTTAATTTGTCCTCTTTATAAAATAGTTAAGTTTATACAGACGTAATACACAAGCATAAATTGAAAACATTTCTACAGAAGAATGAAAAAACTTGTATAGCCAGGAAGAGTTAAAGGTAGCAATTTAATGTCATACATGCATTTGATTTTATTGAAGTGAGAACAAATACACTTGGTAAGAAAGATGTTTTATTCTTATCATTTATAAATTAAGTAAATAACTTTGTTATAATCAGTATGCTATATACAAATTGTAGCTTATTTTAGATATTCAAGATGGTCCAAGTCGATTAACAAAGAAAAATACTGCATAATGTTTGATTAAATATAGATTTATTAATAATAATCTACCTTCTGTTAGAAATGTAACGATACCAGATTCGATCTTCAGTATCGGGACGTCCCTAATTATGATATAGCAAGATTTTTAATTTTGAGGTAAACATGTTCACTTACAAACATGTTCACTTACAAATTTTACTTACAAATTACTTACAAAGGGGTTGAATCTTTATTAAGTCGACCCTACTGGAGATACACACGATCCTCTTTATCTCCTCACTCCATCGACCTTTAACCATCAAAATTTAACAGCCTCTATCTTCCTAATACTCAAATCTGCCTGCAAAATTTCAGAAATTTTCCGCAAAAAGCACAGGAGTTATTAAGCTTCGAACAGAGTGAACGAAATCGTGACATACACAATATATACATTGTAAGGATAACGTGGTTTAATGAATTGTTGAATATCTATTGAAATTCTTCAGGCTTTTTCAGGCTATTGAAAGGCTCCAGGCTAATACATTTACATATAGAAACTTATATTTTCGAGTATATTTTTAATATATGCGCTGATATATCAGAATTTCTTCCTCGTATTACGATTAAAATAATTATATTTTAAATGTTTTATGTTATAAATTGTTACGTACCTTACGTGTAGACGTTTGTAATTAATTAACACTTAAAAGCTAGGTATAAAGAAAGTTGAATGAAAGTAAATTAGAAAGATATAACTACAATATAATAACACATACGTTCCTATTAAATTTATCCTATTTAGAAAATAGTTAAATACAAGGTTATACAGACGTAACACACACGTATGAATTGAAAAGAATTCTAGAGAAAAAACTTGTACAAACAGGAAGAGTTAAAGGTAGCAATTTAATATTATATACGCATTTTATTTTATTGCAGTCAGAACGAATACACGTGGTAAGAAAGACGTATTTTTTCCTTTATAAATTAAGTAAATAACTTTAAAAAAAGTTTAAAATTAATTTAATATTTAAAATCGATTTAACAATATTATATACGATAAAACCTGTCCAAAGCGGAACCTGAATAAAACGGAAACCTGCCTAAATAGAAAAAATTCTTCGGATCGGAGCGATTCCGGTTTACACAGGTTTTAGTGAATGTGATTTAATATTTACTACAGGTACTGTACGTACTTACACTCGCTATTGTATTAATAAAATACCGTCCCTCCAATCAAATCTATTAATGTTTACTGTGTAGGAACTTCTATATCTCGAATTTTTCCTTATTCTCGATAGATTCGAAATAAACAGGTTCAGCTGTGCATTACTTAAGTCATTTCATATTTACTATACGTATATATTGGTTTGTGGTTTGATACTTACGTTGAGCTTGACCGAATTCACGATTAATATGGAAAAAAGACCAATTTAAAATAGGAAAAAAAAAACTATTTTTGTTAGCCTTGAATCAACTCGCTACCAAAATGGAAGAACAATCTACCATTATTTAAATTATTCTAATATGACACACCATTTGAACATTTGGCATGTCATCTGTCACCGTTCTACATGCGCTCATCAGTGGATAAAACTATCGAACACAAATAATTAGTCGCTGGTTCGAGCGAGACCAAGGGTTGAGGATAAATGGGCCCATGTCTCCTGAATGCCCGTGTGTTGCATTGTCTCATTCAGACAACCCAATCCACTTTATATACATACCGTCTTCTAAGATATACAAAAATTACTTTTATTATCACACGGTGATAGAAATATTACTTATTAGCCGCTACAAAATAAATAAATGCGCTTTATATTCTATATGGTAATACAGTATATATATTATTTCTCATAACTGAAACAATCTTAGTATACATAAGTATATCTCTCTTGCCGGTTTACCCAATAATTATGTATCAAAAAATGAAAGAAAAGGATACTTTAATAGTATATTCTCTTTGCTATATAAAGTAACTTATCATAAAAGCAATACAGTTTAATATTTTAATCAATTTTCTCCAGATTTTGAAAGTAATCGATCAAAGTATAACGATTTGCAACAATAAACTTTATGTGGATCGAGAATCCTCCTGTTTACTAGAATTAATAAAAGGATATCAAATGGATTTTGCCAGGCTGAATGGTGAGAAATAAATCTTGATATATCCAGGACAAATCATTAATAAAATTTTGAAGATTTCCGTATCATCAAACTGATTCTTAAAGGCCATTCAGATGCTGGTTTAAACAATATTAATCCATACATTTCAAATCGTATAAACGTCAGTGAAATATATAAACATTGTTTACAATAGGCTAATTATTATCTACGCAGAATCTTCAGCATAAACATTCATTCAACTGTTTAAAACTTGAAAAAATTAACTAAACATCTCTCTTCTTTCTAGAATCTCCAACAGGACGTCACCAGAAAACACAGGGATTATCACAGTAAGTCTAATATATATATATATATATTATTTTTCCTTTAACATAGTTTTATTAATTTTAATTACAATAACAATACTTATTCTTTTTTCTAATTAACTTTTGTACAGTTTACATAAATCTTAAATTATATTCGAACTCTTTAAAATTACGATTCTAATAGATTAGAGGTATCAAATTTAAGAAATTGAGCTATACTTAAATGTATTCTGTTAGAAAAAAAAAATGTATAAATATCTTTAATATATATCTCTTCCCGTTATATAAACACTTGTATAAATCAACTTTGACCTTGTATGTTAGTACATGGCAACAAATACAAAGTTCATTAACAGTAAAAAAAAATTATGTAATATGGTCAACAACATTTATTCAAAAAAGTTAAAAGAATTAAATTACAATTTCATCTAATTTATTATCAATAATTGTTATACAGATCCACACCCAGAATGGTCAATACATTCGTATTAAACATTCTTTCTCATATTATAATGACTCTACTTCTCAGCACCTCTATGAGTATGTAGTCCTTTGTTCTACATACTGATTTCATAGATAACACCTGTACTTTTATGGTACAGGTGCCATGAAATATGAACTAGATTTTAGTTAGTTTATCCTTTATGGTACATCCTTTATGGTTATATCTATCATCTCTTTTCTGTTCTAGCAGGCTTCGTTTACCTTCCTGAACACAGATGACGTCTTCAAAGTGGGCGAATAAAATCGTGCACACATAAACATTCAGAAACAACCTGAATTTATTAATACTCGCTTTACAACAGTTTTCCAATTGAGTCGTAAAAAAACAGGTTCTACTATATATGTAGACTATTTATTACATTCTAAAGAATTCATTAGAAGTATTACCAGTCTTAAGAGTAATTATTGTCACATATTTATAGTTACATAACTAATTTAATTTACTCACTTTTATGAAGTAAGTTGTGTTAAATAGAAGACAAAACTACCTTCTATAAACAAAGAAATAAAAGAAGAAAATGTCTATAGCAGGTTATTAGTGTACATTTTGACATGTTACCTTCAACAGCACGACCTTGTATTGTTTTCCTTCTGTTACAGGCTTATCTTAAGTACACTGTGATACGAGGTATACAGTTGTACAGTACTTTAGTTTCTGCTTTAATGAACAATATAACAGTGGAAGTATGTATAGTTTCTCTACGATGTCGTCCTTTAGCCATTAATCATTGTAATCGCCATTTTCTTATAGTTTAAATTCACTCTATTGATTGTTAGATTAAATTATATACTACCTTGTAATATTTAATTTAACGTTATTATATTTTTAAACAGTGAAGTCATTAAACATGGAGATATTTAAACGTCCTGATTGCACCATCGATAAGAAAATGTTACCAATGAAACTTCACTACTTGTTCAATTCCTTAGGTACGTATATGAACAATAAAGTAATAAGTAAATGAATGTTTATAGATAATATTTATTTTATTTTACGTTTTAGCTATGGGATCGGTTACGATTTACTTCCCACTAATAGCTAAGAAGATAGGAATAAATGCTACAGGATTGGGTGTGATGTTTACAGTACTTCCCTTCCTTAGTCTGTTGTTTAATCCATTGTTTGGATACCTTACTGATAAATTCAAGAAGATTACCTTCGTTATTATCATCTTAACCATTATTCTTGCACCTGTCCACTTTTCGGTCAATTATATTCCCGAAATTGAAAGAAGGACACACTCTTTTGCTGGTGTCAAACTTCATTGTGGTAAAGGCAACTCTTCTACTTTCATCGAATCTTCTCAATTTACAATGAAAAATGTAGAAAATAACAATTTGGAGTGCCAAAAAGAATGCCAAAATTGCAATAAAAGCGATTTATTTAACGTCACAAGTGGGTCATTTTTAAATAATTCCCAAATTTTACGAGTATCGAACATAACGTTGAAAGATAATATAACAATATCCATTTGTTCTCAACAGTTATACGATAATTTCAGTGTTAAATGTTTGATGAAAGATAATCAACGTATCAATTCGTTTGTTCACTATCAATTCTGGTTATTTGTTATATTAATAACACTTGGTGATATTATAGCAGATGCTATCAGTGCCTTATCAGATGCTGCCTGTTACGAAGCTCTTGAAGGAAGGATTAATCAGTTTGGTAAACAAATATTGTGGACCTCAGCTGGTTATGGTGCCATGTCTATGCTTGCAGGATACATTTTAGATTATGCAAATCTCAATAATAAAGGAAAAACTGACTTTTCTTTGTGTTTCTACATGATGATACCTTTAATGTTAATCGATATTATTATATTGAAATTTACAGATATGAGAAAAAGAAAGTCATCATCGAAAAATATATTCAAAGATATCACGAAATCATTCGTAGAACTCCATTCTTTCTTCTTCGTTACGGGTGTATTTTTTGTGGGATTATTATCCGCCTTACAGTGGAAATATTCGGTTTGGTACTTAGAAGAATTAGGAGGTAGCAAGATGTTAATGGGAATTTGTGAAGGAGTAATTTGTTTTATTAGTGATATTCCCTTTATGTTAATTTCTGGTTGGATTATCAAAAGAATTGGAAGAGACAATAGCATGAGCTTAGCATTCATTTCACTTTCTGTATGGTTTTTAACTGCTTCTTACATCTATGAACCATGGTGGATTTTATTAGCATATATGGTGCAAGGACCTTCTTTCGGTCTATTTTATGCAGTTATGACATCGTATGGAAAACTCACAGCTGCACCTGGTACAGAAGCCACCATGCAAACTGTTTTAGGAGCAGTATTTAACGGTTTAGGTAAGAAACAGTAATGTTTTTTTCCTATTTATTTACTTATATGTCACTAGAATTGTGTTCTAAAAATAATTTAAACAATATAAAACTACTCATTTGTATTTAATTACTTATTAAAACATTCTAAGTCGCTGCAATAAGCACCGTTTGAAAGTATACACAGTCGACCCCCTATAACACTATTGATTATTTCGTTTTATATGAATTCCATGTTGTACGAGTCACTTAGATTTTACAAATACATGTGCCAAACTGTGAACAGCTCACGTATTTGTAAAATCTAAGTGACTCGTACAACATGGAATTCATATAAAACGGAATAATCAACAGTGTTATAGGGGGTCGACTGTATTTATAATTATTGCCGGTACACAAATTATAATAATTAAATTGATTATTTTGTTTTCAGGTGTAGGAGTGGGAAGTTTATTGGGAGGAATTGGTTTCGATAAATATAGTGGTCGTATGACTTATCGCATTGCAGGATATTCTGGATTATGTTGCGCCGCTGTATATAAATGTGTTACGTTATTTATAGCTGGAGAAAATTCAGTTATTAAAGGTATTCTTTTTGTTTATATTTCTAACAGTAATAAATTAATTATACATTTAATAATTACTATTTTGTGTAGTAACAATAATACGTATTTCGATTAGGATCTAAATTAACTCCCCAACCCCTCGACCTTTAATTAATCAGCAAAATTTAAATAGCATCAATCCCCTAATACACAAATCTTCCTAGGAAAGCATTCCATGTGAAATTAGCCCCTATTTAAGTGTTAGACAGGTGAAAAACTCTATGAAGTACGAATTTGAGGTGAAGAGAATATAATTTAAATTAAATTAATTTAAAAAATATGATTAAAAATTGCACCCCAACATTGTGATGATATTCTGCTTTAACTTTGCAGTTTTTGTTTTAATTTTAGGATTTCATGTCCTGAAGATAACTGAATAGTACTTGAAAGTACTTATATTATAATACTTTAAATTTTCTTCTATGAAAATATAATTTCTTCATTTTCAAACTCTACTTTGGAATTCTTCATAATCCATTCAATCAGATTTGTCAATAATATCAGATAATTTTGCAAAATGCTGATGCTGTGTTTAACATAATTATTTAAAATAACAAATTATTTCATATAACAAAATATTTTTATTGAAANATAATTGTTTAAGATGAAATTTCCTTTATTAGAAACTAAAGAAGTAGAAGCAGAAAAGCCAAAGATTGAAGATTGCAGCTGATCAGACCACCGTTAATTGAATACAAATAATGCTAAATTTTCGTTAAATAGACGAAAATAAATATCTTAAAACATTGTATCAATATTGTCAACTTGTTAATACATTAAAATATGTATTATAATTATTTTAAAAACTAATAAACGTTTTAAATTTACAAAGAAGCAATGTGCAAGTAGTATATTAAGAATAATTGTCGAAGTTTTTGGAATTTGATTAACCCGTAAAATGACACTTCTAATGTATTAAATAACAGCTTAGAAAGTACAGAGCGAAAATATTATTTTCTATCGAAAAACTTGTACTTACGAATGTTATTATAAGAAAGTAAAAATACGAAAAGTTGTATCAAATTTTCATGAAAATGATAAACATTTCCGTGGAACCATGAATGCAATTCTTCAGTTCTACCTTTCTAAATGAACGTCCAGCTGATGGAAAGTTTAAATTACTATCACAAAGGCATAGTTAATTATGAATTACTTTTAACTACCCGCAGTTTCTTCGTGATCTGTTCTACACCATGAACACTTTCTCATGTAATAATGCATTGTCATTAGGTTAGAGAAAGTAATAAATAGACGAATCGAACTTTCCATTGTAAATAGGTAAGTAAACTTTCACAAGTGTAATTTGTGGTAGTATTTTATGTAGTAGAATTTCGCTTAACCGAATGTCCAATTAATCAAACTAACACTTTCCTTCTTTTCTCTATAACACTGCATTTCTCTTAAGTCATGCGACTGACTCATATTTGCTTGACTGATCAAAATATACAGTAAAATCGGAAATTTTATAGTATATTCCGTTAATATAAAAGGAATTAATTACTATAAAACCTGTGTAAATGGTAAAAATTCTTCGAAACGTAGCGATTTTTTCGGTGTTAAAAATAACCTGTCTAAATAGGAAAACATTCGGTATTCAGTTTGTACAGTATTTATTGTATTGTATTCTCTTATAAATTATTACTATCTTTTTTTAAGATACTAATTTATGAGATAATTTAAAGCAAAAATTTGTTTAAGCGGAACGAAATGATTTGCTACTTAAAGTACTATTATTTATAATTCGAAAACCTGTCTAATACGAAAGCCTATTGTTTGATTTATATTGAGCGGAATATTTCGGTGTAACAGCACCTAAATTTTAAATCGTAACGGCATATCGACTTCTAAGTGACAAGTTACACAGTAGTTTATCACATTTTTCTTCTGTTAAGATTATAATTTCATTGTCTGGATAGTAATACAATATCTCTACCTTTTCCCCAATTCTCTAGATTGACTAAATTATTATAAAAATAATTATTATAAAACGAAAACTTGTTAAAAACGGACAATTCTTAGCGGTTTTTTTAGCTCAAATAACTTTTAAAGCATTATATAACGTGATTGGTCAATTTCAAAAATAGAAATAACGAATTTTCTCATATCTCCCGTTCTTATTGGTTAATTTAAATACGCGTGTAAATTAACATAACTTAATTCAATTATTAAGAATTATAATTAAAATTTATTATTTATTTTAAAGCTTAAAAAAAATGTTGATATTGTTTTCGTTCATGTGTAAAATAATATAGGCATATTATTATTATTGTATTGTGTATTTGAAATTTATGTTTAAATCTTATTTATGTACCTAAAAATGTACGTATATATGAAAATTATTGAAAAAATAATATATAATCGGGAAAGAATTCTACATTATTTCACTACACAATTGATAATTGTGTAGCGAAAATTTCTGTGAAGATCAAAGTCTACTGCTTTAAAAGACACTTGGACCCATTTAAATATTTTATTTTGAGATATAAAGCGAAAATTCTTCAACAAAACAGTGTAAATATACATACAGGACAAACTATCTTCAGTAAAACATAGGAAAGTATAGCAATCAAAGTACAGAGGACCAACGAAAAGCTGGTAAGAATTATTATTATTATTTTATTGAATACATTTCTATGCTGCCGTAAATTAAAGTTTCAGCATATTGTAGGGCCTGTAAGGAGCTTATTGTTAATTATGTCATGTAGTTTGTAATATATACTATATGGTTATATTATAGACTGTACTGTATACTATAGACTGTAGGACTGGTTACAAGTTACATTATAGGTGGGTCTTACTGCATGAGTAAGGGATGAAGAAGAACTATCCCAGCACTTGATAAATTATGAAAATTAAAAAGAATTAAAAAATCTGGATATAAAAGTTTACATTGAATGATTACCCAAAACTAAAGTTAATTAAATGGCATAAACAATACTTAGATAATAGATATCGACATGTGATAATCCACGAGTGAAGAATGCGCGAGATTATGCAATTAAAAGGAAATAACTCTAGTTTTTGTTAGATTTTTGCAGTTTCAACTTTGACCTTTGCCATCCCTGCACAGAATTTGTCGTTTTTTTAATATATTTTTTAGACAGTTGAAACGGGAGGCGATGATGGAGTCGTAAGAGGAGTAGGCAAATTAGGCGCCTCGGAAACCTCGCTTTTCCTATTGTTTTCTAGCTGTGATATTTGACCTTTCCTTCGCTTTTCGGCAGTTTTTAAGCAGGGTAGACTTTTAGACATTGCTCGATCGTGAGGGGACTTGGCTCCAAATAATCAACAAAAAGCACTACTTCGGAGGCAAATTAGTTGCCTCCCGAAGTAGTGTTTTTTCCCTTGTCTCTTTTGCGTTAACATATGACCTTTGCTTCGCTCTCGAGAAGTTTTCGCCTATGTTTGGCCGTCTTTAGATATATAGGGTAGATTGTAGGGAAAGTTGTCCCTCGGGAGATTATGTAAAAGATCTTTCCGAAATAGGACTCTCTTTCCCATCGCTCTCGCCCTCACAGATTCGCATTACTTAGATAATACTAGACATTTTAAACAAGATAAATGATATCATTCGTTTTTATATATAAAAAAACGGACAATTCTTAAACATATTTGAAACACCCTTAGACGAAAAAAATGTGTGTTTGGCCTTATCTTTGACAAACCAAATATGAAAGAATATATGTATCAAAATTAAACACAATAATAACACGATTCACCTTCACTTATTGATGAAAATTTTTAATGGCTGAAAAAATTGTAAGTAATGATGTTAATATAATATAAAAATTGTTTTATACATTTAATAATATGTTTATTGTACAATACATTTGGGAGTAAGATAACACTTAGGCTATAATGAACTTCAACTTATATACCCCAACTGGATTATATCAGTTAATACCTTTAGTTTATCTTGTATGTGGGCAGAAACAAGTTAAAAAGTATTAAAATAATTAGAATATAACAATATTAATACAGCTCCCCTACAAAATAAAAATAAAAAAACAATATGAAATCTGCATCATCATGCTAAACCCCTATAATTTTTCTGTAGATTAAAAAATCTTTACATTCTTTAAGCACTAAGGTCATTTTAATCATACCCATTACGTGTTTGGTCCACAATGGGGTTGGTTCGGTTTATTTGTTTACGCCGTTACGGTAACGCGACACATGGTCGAAGAGAGGATTGCATCCCGGGAGGTCTTTTATGTGAATCTGACCCCTATTTAGGTATTATAAACGTGAAGAAAACACGAAAAACTCCACGTGGCCAGCTCGTTGACGAGGCCCAAACCCACGACCAACTATTGTACCGTTATTTGGTGGTATTTTTCACTCTGACACTGGTGGCCACACCCAGGATCAGGATGCTTATATTAACTTGGCCATTTGGTCCGTTCAGTAGGCACTAGGAGGGCCTTTTAGTATACCTGTCAATGATTTAAAAGTTTCCACACACTCGGAGCGTGGCAAGGACCAAACCCGATATGTGAAATTTCATTTATTTATGTATTTATTAGTCTCCTTCCTGGTTTGGCCAAGTCTAAAATAGGGGCAGCCAAGTAAAGGACTGGTCGCGACAGATATCAGGATTTGACCATCCATTAATTACTTTTGGTCATTGAACTGACGAAAGATTATGGAGAAAACTTCCCAGTTTTCTCCATACACATTAATTTTGTCATTAAGAAAATATATTCTTAATTATTCTTCAATGTCTTTATTCTGGTAACAGTTAACTATGTTTATCCTTTTGTCTCTCTTAATATAGAAATTCCGAATATATCATCAGAAATAATTCATTAGTAAGAAGATTTGATCATCCGAGTTTTCGAAAATCCTTCAAAATGATAACATCACTCAATTGTTCCATCAACAGAAAAATGTTACCAATGAAACTCCATTATCTCTTCTATGCATTGGGTAATTTAAACAAAAATTCATTAATATAAGTTTAATCAATTAAATAGTAATAAATAACTATAAACCTCATTGGCTTTACCGTTATAATACAAATACATCATACACCTTTTCGATTTTTATTGAATTAACTGAAGATATTCTGGAATCCATTTCGACCTATCCAACACCCCTCTTCAGACAGGTTACACATATTCGACATTATGGCATTATACTGTATAACAAAAGAAAACACCTTTAAACAGTAGATTCGAAAAGGTATATGATGAGTCTGTACTTATAACGATAAAGCTAACGAAGTTTATAGTTATTTATTATTATTTAATTAATAAAAATTAATCTTCTAAATAGGTTTATATTTTTCTTTATATTTTTTTTTAATTTTTTACAGGTACTGGTGCAGTTTTACCTTTCTTCCCATTAATAGCAAAGAATATTGGGATTAGTGCTTCAGGATTAGGATTAACATTCGCTGTAGTTCCATTTTTCACTATAATAGTTAATCCCCTTTTCGGTGTCCTCACTGATAAATTCAAAAAAATTAAATTTATTCTCATGTTCTTCATTGCCATTCAATCAATTTTCTATTTTTCAATTAATTTTATTCCTCGTATTGAAAAGGAGAAAATCATTTTCTCTGATATAAAATTTCATTGCGACGATGGAAACATGAAAAACTTCACGAAAAATTCGAATATTTCATCAACAAATACATATAATAACACATTGCAATGTCGTGCAATATGTTTTGTATGGAACAATAGCGAGGTATTTTCACAAAATTCTTTCAATTTTACCAGAGATTTAACTTTAAACAATGACCAAGACTTACAAATCGATAATTTTACATCTTCAATTTGTTCTCAGTTTAATAAAGAATGCCAAATTAAATGCTTTGTAGATGGAGACGAAGAAGACAATTCATTTGTCCATTATCAGTATTGGCTATTCGTTATCATAACAGCTATTCCCGTTGTAATTACTAATGCAATTATAGCAATATCTGATACTGCTTGCTACGAATCTCTAGAAGGAAGAGTTAATCAATTTGGTAAACAAAGAGTATGGCTTTCTATTGGGTGGGGAATTATACAATTAACTACCGGATACGTGGTTGAATTAGCAAATAAAGGAAACGATGGCAAAACAGATTTTTCTATTTGTTTCTATGTCATGCTACCTTTAAAATTTATCGACATTATCGTTGTTAGTTTTACAGATATGAAAAAGGAAAAAACTTCAAGAAACATATTTAAAGATGTTAGAAAGATATTTGTAAAACTTCATCCTTTTATTTTCATAATTGCAGTATTTTTTATAGGGGCAATCAATGGTATGTTGTGGAATTATGCTTTTTGGTATTTCGAACAACTGGGTGCTAACAAAATATTTATGGGAATAACTTCAGCCGTTAATGTTATATTTGCTGAAGTTCCTTTTATGTTCGTATCCGGTTGGATTATTAAAAGAATTGGAAGAGATAACAGTATTTCAATGGCTTTTCTATCAAGTTCTGTATGGTGTTTCACTGCTTCGTTTATGTACAATCCTTGGTGGATTTTAATAGCTAATTTATTTCAAGGTCCTGCATATGGTCTTTTTCAAGCAGTCATGACTTCTTATGGAAAACTCGTGGCTCCTCCGGGAACAGAAGCAACTATGCAAACGATTCTAGGAGCAACGTTTCATGGTTTAGGTAAAATAAAGAATAAATATTTTTTTTAATTATAAATTGATTGATAATGTATACAACGAAGTCTTTATATATTGTATAATTTCAGGTATAGGTACCGGCAGTTTACTAGGAGGATTCAGTTTTGATAATTTCGGTGGTCGAATGACTTACCGTTTTCTTGGATATTTCACTTTAATTACAGCTGCAGTATATAAATGCATTACACTATTTATAGCAGGAGAAAATACCGTAATTAAAGGTAAATTTCTACACACAATGATACTTCATACTTCGAATTTAATGCTTTCCATGAGGCCATTTCAACTCTGAATTTTTCGTAGTCGGAACCAATTTCTCCCATATCGTAAACAATACCCATTTCGATAAAACTGTATAGCAAATACATATATTTTCAGATAAAAATAACACAATTAAATGCTCCAAACAATAAATATGTATACTGTATAATAAAATGAAAATTGCATTTATGACTACTGCATGTTAGTGAGAAGTGATATGGTATCTTCCGTTTATTAACGTCACTAAGTAGTGTATTTGGCTTTCTCACAAATAACCCTCTCGGTATGTTATGATGATATGTTTAGACAATTGCTTCTCATTTGATTCTTATTGAGGAAGTGGAAAAACCCCTATTGTAAAGAATGGGAGGAGTGTTTCCATTTCTTCAATTATGTTTATAACCAAACACTAAAAATACAGCGAAAAAACTCCACAAACATTCAAAGTAAACTAATAGGTTAATAAGTAATTAATATTTATTATGAGAGTGTAGGGGAGAAATAAAGGGTTCTGACAGGTCCCAAATGGAAAATTTTAATCTGCTTTGGAGGGACCACATAGAAATTTCTCATGGGCAGTCTGTCCGTGATACCTTACCCGTTCAACACTCTTTTGGTCACTATTATTTCGGGTATATTATGATTCTTTATTTAATATTTACGTGAAAGATCGAATCTTTTCGAGGGTGACTTTATTTAAGACAGCTCTATATCTAGATTTAACGTATTTATTTATTAACGAATAACATCTCTTATATGTAAATATAAAGTGTTTCAATTATACTATTACTCCACACATTTACACAAGTACTGTACTGTACATACATTCATGCATTTACACATGAATGAAGCTCAATATAATTAATTTAAGTAAAATATTTTATATATATTTTTTAAATCTAATTTTAATTAATATTTTAATTTAATTTACTTTATTAAAACGAAATTAATTTTATTAATTTCTTTATAAATCTATAGAAGAAGAAAGAAACAAACGAATGGATATGACAAAGACAACTGGAAAACAATAGAGACACATCAGAATATAGATTCATCCAGGATCCAGTAAATTATTAAATAATTCAACACTTTGTCATCACCTTTCTTTCACTGCATGCATAAGAATATATTGTAAAAATTATTAAAAAATAAATAAATAAATAATTCTATGATAATTTATCACGCGTACTTTTTGGGCTACAATTTGTAGACCTATAAATTGTACACTACCGTCACCAGTCTGCCTGTCTGTCCTTCCTTAATCTCGAGAAAGGAGTTAGATAGATGACCGACACGACTCTATTGTTAAAGGAAAAGTATGATGTACAGGGGCAAGCTACTAATAATTTGAGGTGGAGAGCATATAATTTGGTGGAAGCTATATAAAGGATGAAAATTATATCGAATGGTTCCCAAATACCCTGATTTAAAGCTCCTAGGTATTGCAATATGGTCTCAATTGAAGGTAATTTTGTGTGTTTGTCATCAGACAAGCAATGAAAATAACTAATTTTGACTAATTTTATGAATGCCTATAGAACTTGATTGTGTTTGAAGGAAAGATACATTAAAACTGCTTCCTCGTACTGCATTTAAAATAATTATATTTTAATTGATTAATGTTAGAAATAGTTACATAAATTATGTGTAGGCGTTTATGTTTAACACTTAAAATTCACGTATAGAAAGTGCAGAGTATAAAGAAAATTGAATTAAAGTAATGATAGCAAGAAGAAAAAAAGTAATTGTGATAGATCGTAACATATACTTTAGAAAATAGTTAAATACAAGGTTAACACACACGCGTATGACGTATAAAATGAAAAAAAAAAAACTTGTATAGACGGGAAAGATAGCAATTTAATATTAAGTAATCATTTTAGTATCTTGCAGGGAGAAAAATATACGTGGTAAGAAAGATGTTTTCTTTTATCATTTATAAATTAATTAATTAACTGAGACGTAAGTAAATTTAAAATTAATTTATCAATAATATTAAGGTTTGAACCACTCAAATCATCATATTTGCCATATTTATTATGTGGTTTCACCATATTTAATGTTAGTATAATAACTTTTTATCCGTTTATTTAAGCAAACGTAGTGTAAAGAAGGGTTTCGTGGTATATGCCTTTGTCTCTCAATATCGAGTCTACCCTATGGTGAGCCTGGACAAATTTACGATTAGTATGAAGAAAAAAGGCCTTCTACTGCTTGCAAAACGATAAGAATTAAAAATGGAAAAAACAATACTATTTTTGTTGGCCCCAAAAATCAACAGGCTAATAAAATGGCGGAAACTCTACATCGCCATTTGAATAGTTTATCGTGTGTAAAATAATATACGATAAACCATTTCGTTTATCGTTTATCACACTTGAACATTTGGCATTCTATCTGCCAGCCACCATTTTACATTCGTCCACTAGTGAATAAAACTGCTGAATACTGGTAATTAATTGCAGGTTCTCACCAGACCAGTGGGCCGGACTATAGAGCTTTCAGGGTTTTCTTCACGTGTCTAATACTGAGATATAGCCACCATGTCTCAAGGAAAATTCTTATATGCCCAACATAAAGCGAGAATCCTCCTGGTTACTGGAATTAATAAAAGGATATCAAATGGATACTTTTTAATGTCCATTATGGATTTTACTGAGTGGTGAGAGATAAATCCTGACATATCCAGAGCAAATCATTCACAAAATTTTGAGGATTTCCAGAGCATCAAACTGCCTAAAGCCTGAAGACCATCCAGATGCTATTTAAATAATATTAATCCTAATCCTAATCGAAAGGAAATGCAAAGATTAAACGCAAAGTTCCAAAAAGAATCCAGGAAAGATAACGGAAAATTCTGAGAAGAGCAGTGCAAGAAAATAGAAGCAGCAGCTCAGAAAGACTTCATTAGACAATGTTTCACTTATGTGAAGAAAGTCCGAACACCATTTATCGCTCGTAAAGCAACTGTGAGGCCTAGATGGTCATGAATTTCCTGATCAACACGATCATTCAACATGTATGTACTTAACCATAGACAGAGAGATGCCAGATGTACAGGCAAGTTTCCGAAAAGGAAGAAGTATACCGTGATCATATCGCTAATCTTCGTTGGACGATGGAAACAGTGAGGGAATACCAAAAAGATCTAAACATGTGCTTCATTAATTACTCAATAGCTTTCGATTGTATTGATCATGACAAGTTGTGGAAGTGTCTCAAGGAAATGGGAATCTCACCGCATCTCACCCAGCTCATACTGGACAAAAAGCCACTGTAAGAACGCCATATGGTTACACAGACTGGTTCAAGATCAGAAGGGGTACTAGCCAGGGCTGTATCCTTTCACCATCACTATTCAATCTGTACGCAGATGTGGCGATAAGGAAAGCAAATTTGAATGACTCTAACATTGGAGTGAAAATTAGAGGCAGCAACATCAATAATCTCCGATATGCGGATGATACCACGCTGCTGGCGGAAAGTCAGGAAGATCTAGAGCAGCTGCTTCTGAGAGTCAAGCACGAAAGTGCAAAGGTAAAGCTGCTTCTTAAGCACCAAGAAGACAAAAATGATGACTACTGCACAGAATACGGAAGTCAAAATAGTGATCAACAGATAGATGCTTTCGAACTGTGGTGTTGGAGACGGCTTTTGTGCATTCCATGAACAGCGCGGATTAGCAATAAAACTGTCGTAGACAGAGTACAACCGAAAATCCACTGGAAGCCCAGAATACCAAACAGAAATTGCCCTTTTATGGTCATATAATAAGAACCAACTCCCTTGAGAAGGCGGTCATGTTGGGGATGGTTAGCGGGAAAAGAGCGCGAGACCGATAAGGACACGGTGGCTCGACACAATTAAAAGTGACACTGAATTATCTATAACGGAATTGAAGAAGGCTGTGCAGGATAAAGAAGCATAGAGAGCTTTGATCCATAGAGTGACCGAGAGTCGACAAGATTAAACGGATAGGATAGAATAAGAATCCTAATTCATACATTTTAAATAAAAACAATTATCACTTTTTTACATTTTAAACCGTATAACCTTCAGTGAAATATAAACACTGTTTACAATAGGCTAATTATTATCTATGTAGAATCTTCAAGTTAAATATTTATTAAACTGTTTAAAACTTGAAAAAATTAACTAGACATTTCTCTTCTTTCTAGAACTTCATCACGAAGTACCAGTATTATCGTAGTAAGTATAAAATATGTATTATTTTTTTTTCAATATAGTTTTATTAATTAATTTAATTCTCTCCCCCTCCATCGACGTTTAAACACCAAAATTTAATAGCGTAAATTCCCCTAATATACAAACCTTCCTTCAAAATTTCAGAAATTTCAGGACAAAAACACAGGAGTTATTAAGCTTCAAACAGGGTGAACGAAATAGTACACCCCTACACACACTAATATCCATACAGTACGAGAAAAATGGCTCTACGTGTGTCTCCATCTGTTATCATATTTTTATGTTTATACATTTTAATTTTAATTTGATTTTAAAATCCTCTGTTCGTTTAAAATCCTCCATTATCTGACAAAATAATATAGAATAATTTTAACATTATTAGCAGTATCACATTTTTAAATATTTATTATACGTTATTTCACTCAATTAAATCATATAATGTACGTGTATTATAAATGTATTGTACTTATAATTATTATTATTAATGTAACAATTTTGAATATATTATCAGAAAGAATTCATTAGTAAGACATTCTCATTACCTGAGCTTTTGAAAATCCTTCAATATGGCAAGATCTTTCAATTGTTCTATCAACAGAAAAATGTTAACAATCAAACTCCATTATGTATTTTATGCATTAGGTAATTTAAATTTAAAAAAATATATATCTTAACTGATTACTATACAGTTTTATACATGCGTTTTACACCCTTTTTTGTTTTAATTTTTTTACAGGTACTGGTGCAGTTTTACCTTTCTTCCCATTAATAGCAAAAAATATTGGGATTAGTGCTACAGGATTAGGATTAACTTTTACCGTAGTTCCATTTTTCATTGTTGTACTTAATCCACTTTTCGGTTTCCTCACTGATAAATTCAAGAAAATTAAATTTATTCTCATGGTTTTCATTATCATTCAATCAATTTTCTATTTTTCAGTCAATTTTATTCCTCGTATTGAAAAGGAGAAAATCATTTTCTCTGATATAAAATTTCATTGCGACGATGAAAACACGAAAAACTTCACGAAAAATTCGAATATTTCATCAACAAATACATATAATAACACATTGCAATGTCATGCAATATGTTTTGTATGGAACAATAGCGAGGTATTTTCACAAAATTCTTTCAATTTTACCAGAGATTTAACTTTAAACAATGACCAAGATTTACAAGTCGATAATTTTACATCTTCAATTTGTTCTCAGTTTAATGGAGAATGCCAACTTAAATGCTTTGTAGATGGAGACGAAGATGACAATTCATTTGTCCATTATCAGTATTGGCTATTCGTTATCTTGACAGCTATTCCTGTTATTATCACTGATGCAGTCATAGCAATATCTGATACTGCTTGCTACGAATCTCTAGAAGGAAGAGTTAATCAATTTGGTAAACAAAGAGTATGGCTTTCTATTGGGTGGGGAATTATACAATTAGCTACCGGATACGTGGTTGAATTAGCAAATGAAGGAAACGAAGACAAAACCGATTTTTCTATTTGTTTCTATGTCATGGTACCTTTAAATTTTATCAACATTATCATTTTGCATTTCGCAGATATGAGGATGGAGAAAACTTCAATAAACATATTGAAAGATGTTAGAAAGATATTCGTAACGCTTCATCCTTTTATCTTTATAACTGCAGTATTTCTTGTAGGAGCAGTCGATGGTTTAATGTGGAATTACGCTTTTTGGTATTTCGAACAACTGGGTGCTAATAAAATATTAATGGGAGTAACTTCTGCTGTTAACATTTTCTGTGCTGAAGTCCCTTTTATGTTCGTATCCGGTTGGATTATTAAAAAAATTGGAAGAGATAACAGTATCTCAATGGCTTTTGTTTCAAATTCCATATGGTGTCTTACCGCTTCTTTCATGTACAATCCATGGTGGATTTTAATAGCTAATTTGTTTCAAGGTCCTGCATATGGTCTTTTTCAAGTAGTCATGACTTCTTATGGAAAACTTTTGGCTCCACCAGGAACCGAAGCAACTATGCAAACGATTCTAGGAGCAGCATTTCATGGTTTAGGTAAAATATCTTATTTTTTTTTTAAGAACAAATCAAAGATTAATATTGAAGGAATATTTTTTCTCAATTATAAATTGGTTGGTACTGAATATAACGGAGTCTTGTATAATTTTAGGTATAGGTACCGGAAGTTTACTAGGAGGATTCGGTTTTGATAATTTCGGTGGTCGTATGACGTACCGTTTCGTTGGATATTTCACTTTAATTACAGCTGTAGTATATAAATGCATTACACTATTTATATCAGGAGAGAATTCCGTAATTAACGGTAAATTTTCGTATATTTCTTTTGTTTGCATATGTAATTCATTACTTAATTTCATTCCTTATGGCTTACCATATCAATCCTCGGAGAAAGGCACTTGAAACGTGTTACAGATCAATTAATTTTCATGAAAAATTAAAACTTCTTTTGAATAGTAGTAATTTTAATCAGGACATATTCAAGAAAAGTTTAATAGTGCTTCTTTAATAAGTAATTAGTACTTATTATCAGTATATAGGAGATGCAGGAAAATATTGTGGCCGGTGATAAATGAAAATATTCAATTGTTTTCGCGTGTTTTTTTGCATAATAAGCCAAATTTTAAAATCCCACTGAGCCCAATATCTGAAGAAAATTGCCTTGCTATCTGTCTAGTCTCTTTATACGGATATGATTATTAATTTCTCCACAGATTAAAAAAAAACGGAACCTCAGCTAGACTAAAATGAAAGGGGTTAACCACACAATTTGGTACCCTAAAGACAGGGCTAGATACATCGGGTTCTGTCTTTCGGGTGCCAAACTTCCACAATAGGGTTATTCCTTCAGCTGTCCAAATCGTAGGGCCTTGTAAAACATATGTGGACCCATAAAAATATAATTATTTATTAAGTAATTCGGCCGAGGATTTCTTTTATACGTAAATATAGTAGTGTTCGAATTATATTTGACACAGGTTTTTAAAGCATCTACACACAGTACAGTACATATCTACATATGCATGCACTTACGCACGAATGTAACCCATTTTTTAATATTATTAATTAAACTGTTATGTTTTAAATCTACTTTTAATTATTTAATAAATTAATTTTATTAATTTCTTTACAAATTCATAGAAGAAGAAAGAAAGAAAGGAATGGATATGACAAAGACAATTGAGAAACAATAGAGACGGATCTGACCAGATTCGGCCAGGATCCAGTAAATTATTAAATAATTAGAAGAAAAGTGTGTAGTCTGCACAAAAGCCAGGGAAAATACATACATATATACGTGTATAGTTAAATACAGAAGAAAAAAATATATATTAAACATTTTATTACGACGATTTACCACGTGTAATGTTTAATTCTAAAAGTAATCATTAAACGATTACACTTTACAATGTACTTGTACAGGCGATTTGATATGTTTTTCAATAAAAATAAGCATTTGTACTGATTTTACTAGAATACGGGTAGGGTTTATGTATGTTTTGTCGGGAGAATACTACAATTTTTGAATAGTTCGTTAGAAAGAAGTTGTGTTTCAGAATTTGATACACGCACTTAATGTTTGACTTCGTCTAGTGTTCTAAGAAGTTCAAACAAGTACACTTGACTACAATGCTACAACAAAATCCTTTACATTTTATCTTAACCAGAAAATTGAGAGGTAACTTGTAATGGTGGTAAAAGATGGAGAAGGTGAGGAGATAGAAGGGAGTGGTGTATCTCGAAATAATGAAGATTTTATTGGTCATTAACATATACGTTCTTTTATAAAACTCACACTTACCATGAAAACAAAGCTTTTTACCATTTAATAATGATAAAAATAAAAAAGTTTTTACATAAAATATCTTTTCCTGTCAAGGCTGCCACATTACAGTATTAAAATTAAGTAGTTATGGTGAACTTCCTTCACGAAGAATCAATTTAATGGTGTTATAAACAATATGGAGAATATAGAAATAGAAACGAATAACAAAAATGTGCCTTAAAACAGAATAATTTTAAATTCAATTATTAAATAATTGAAGATAAGAATAATTTTACCATTAAATATAGGCCTGTATTATTTTCTTTTAGTTACAGGTAAGTTTATCATTAGTAACTTATTCTTTAATACTGTATTTAGGCTGCAATTTTTAATTTGCAGATCGGTTTGTCTGTCTGTCTGTCTTTCGTAAATCTCGAGAATAATTTGCCTGTTAAATATACGCGTTACAAAATGATTCTCAACGTTAAATAGATGGAAATTATACACATTTAGGATTTCGTGTAAATCAAATAAAGTATTATAACGAGAGGATTTTTAAATAAATTACTTTGTTTTAAACAAAATAAATAGAATTAATTCGATTGGAATTCATATAAAGCTTTTTCTCCCAACCCCCTCGACCTTTAACCACCAAAATTTAACAGCATCAATTTCCCTAATACATAAACCTCCCCGCAAAATTTCACAAAAGGCACAGGAGTTATTAAGCTTCAGATTGGGTGAACAAAATTGTGCCACCTCCCCCACACATACATCAATAGATACAGAAAAACTTCGCATTTCTAGATGTTTCTAAGTTCCCCGAGTCCAAAAATGTAAAAAATCTTGGGGGGAGGTGATTTCTTGAGCGATAGCCATACCTTCTTTCTGTTGTATATAACAACTGGGAAAGTAAAAGTAGCTTTTATATCTTTTGATAAAATTAATATAATGTATTCTCTTTAAATAATAAGTTAGAAATTATATTTTATTTTAAACTATACATATAGGCCTATTTTATATCACTTTTTGTTTTGTCTGGTTATGCAACGAACAATTGTTAACTACCAGACAGGACGTCCTTTGCACCCACATCTCAGAGATGTGTGTGTACACTCGACACCTGGTTGTAAAGGAATTTCGCCTGTTTTTCCTCCCTTCCTTTCTTTTTTAGTAATGCTGGTTAAAAATAATTCAAAGAAGCAAATTACAATAAAAAATTATTAATTAATTGTTATAAATCTGATAACATGCGAAGAAAAAGACGAAGGGATGACGTCGTTTCCTTCTTTTTCAGTGGTGTTAAATGACAGATGCTACTCTATCCATGCATATAATTCTTAATCGACAAAAGAGAAGGACTAAAAGACGTTGTTCCGGGGGAACAACATCTTTTAGAACAACGGGGGATCTACATCAAAAGCTATTGTTTATGTCTTATCAAACTTTCCCCGGAACAAAATCATGATTGATCAAAACGAAGTAGACCCCCTATAACACTGTTGATAATTCCGTGTTATATGAATTCCATGTTATACGAGTCACTTAATTTTACAAATATGTTTGCTGGGCTGTGAACGGCTCACGTATTTGTAAAAGGGAATTAAGAAAATCAGAGAGAGGGAGGTAGTGAAACACTTAGTGAGGGACTGAGTAAAGGGAAAAGAAGACAAAAAGGTGAAGAAGAAAGGGAGAGAAAGTGAAAGTGTGAGAAAATGAAGGAAAAGGAGAGGAAGAGAAAGCAGAAAGGGAAAAGGAAAATCAACACATCTAGAAGAACAACTTTTCCTAATAAGTTGTTCGGATACTCCCTCTAGGCACCCCCCGTTTTACAAATAGAAATAGACCATTCCTTTAAAGAGGCGCGAGCCCACGACCAGTATTTAGTGATTTTATCCACTCGAACTTGGACAAAAATCTATACAGTAGACCCCCTATAACACTGTTGATAATTCCGTGTTATATGAATTCCATGTTGTACGAGTCACTTACATTTTACAAATATGTTTGCTGGGCTGTGTACGGCTCACGTATTTGTAAAATCTAAGTGACTCGTACTGTACGTCGTGGAATTCATATAACACGGAATTATCAACAGTGTTATAGGGGGGTCTACTGTACTTGTATATAATCTTAATTAACTAAACATTGTGAATAAAAATATAAACAAATTATTATAAATTTCATAAAATATTTATTTCTGTTTACACAATGACTCGTAACTTATCATACACACGATTTAATGAATTTATTATATAAATAATCTTAGAAGTAATTTAAAATATTTATTATCTTAATGTAGAATTAATATATATTATTTCTAGGTGTGTGAAAGAAAGGATTTTAAATTAAATGTCATCAATTTTTGTGATTTAATTTGCCCACGTTTTAAATGGAACTTGAAGGAGGAAAGTATATTATCAATATAAAAAATCTATAATTATCATATGATAAATAACGGCCATTTTAAGTGGTTTGTTGAAAAGTTTAAAGGCCAAGAAGCTAAATTCTTCTCCATAAACTTACATTTCTTCGCCGTTAATCAAGGCAATTCGACTTCACAAAGATGATTTGCATTATTATTTTAAGTATTAATATCAAGTTTTTAAGCATATAAATAGGGTTTTTTTTTGTGAAATTTCTCCTTTAATAAGAAGAACGTTTACTGAATATCAATAGAAAATAGTTTATTACGTAGAGATCGTTACCAATTGTCAAACACTTGAGTAACGTTCAACACGCAAACAGTATGGATTGTAAGGTTAATTTACAACTTTTACCAATGAAAATCCATTATTTCATGTTTTTTGCAGGTAAGATTTATTTGTAAATTATGAAATTAACAAATTACTTAATTTATTTTACGAATTTTTTAATAGCAATTTCTACAATTCTTCCATATCTTCCATTGGTGGCTAAACAACTAGGAATAAGTGCAACAGCAATAGGTCTCATTTATACAATTGTACCTTTCACTTCTATGTTTGTATGCCCTATATTTGGCTGGTTATCTGATCGTCTTAAAAAACTTAAATCTATTATATTATTATTAATTCTAATTCAAACGCCTAGTTATTTTCTTATTAATTATATTCCCTCTAAAGACGTGGGCATTCAAGAATTTACATTCTTATGTACAGAAGAGGAAAGGTATGTCTTATCAAACAACCTTGCATTTCATTCTAATTTCAAATGCTTTAAGGGTTGTCAATGTTCCTTGTCTTATAATATTACGTTAAAGCCTTATAATTGCCTTAATATTTCATCAACCTTATATGGAGGGGAACTAAATTATGATAGTTTTGACCCAAATTTAAACAGTTCATGCGTTTTCAGAACGAATATGACTTGTTCGTGTCCTGTTCAATCAATGGAAAGTATATACAAGTCGAAGCAGTTTTGGCTTTTACTTCTGTTAACGATCCTCTCCCTTATAATGACTAATGTACTTATTTCTCTATCTGATGCTGCTTGTTATCAATCATTAAAAGAAAAATTGTATCAATATGGCAATCAGCGAATATGGGGTACCATAAGCTATGGTTTAGGTGCCGTCCTTTCAGGTTATCTAATCGATATATTCAATATTTCTAATAGTGAATACATTGATTATTCGTGTTGTTTTTTCTTAATGTTTGCTTTAATGACGTGTGATTTTGCAGCCGTCACGCAGACAGTACTTGAAAAGACCCCTTCTTCGAATAATATTGTTAAAAATGTTGGTCTATTGTTTAAAGATCCTAATATTGCTTTCTTCGTAATCGCTGTGTTTCATGTGGGTTGTCTATCGGCCATTCAGTGGAATTATACCAATTGGTTTTTAAAGGGTTTAGGTGCAGATAATTTGTTAATGGGATTAACTATAACAACGCAGTGCCTATTAGCAGAATTGCCTTGCATGCTCTATTCTGGATGGATAATTAAAAAAATTGGCGAAGATAATTCCATGTGTTTAACGTTTATTTCATTTTCTATTTGGTTTCTGTCCTTATCGTTTTTGTTTAATCCTTGGTGGATAATTTTAATCGAATTAAGTCAAGGTCCCTCCTTTGGACTCTTTTATGCTAGTGCTACGTCATATGCGAAACGTAATGCCCCTGTTGGCACAGAAGCTACTTTACAGACAGTTGTAGGTTCGGCTTTTCATGGATTGGGTAAGTAAAATTCAATCGAAAATGATGAACCGAAAGGCAAATTTAAAAATGCTTTAAAAAATTAAATCTGTGGTGCAACAAGGCTTCTTGTGTTAGAATAATATGATTTGACATCATTCCTCTAAGAATCAGTAGCGTAACCAGGAAGGGACCTTTACCTTAGTAAATAAACAAATAAAGAATTAAGTAATAGGAGAAAGATCTGAATGTGATAAAACCATTTATATATACATTTATACACATTATATGAGTACTAATCGCTAGTAATACATTAGAGCGTCGTTTATCCGAATCAATTGGGGATTGGGATAGTTCGGATAACTTATTTTTCGGATAACCGATTATGTACGAAAAAATATAACCTATCCCGTGTTGAAATTTTTCTCCGTTGCGTGTCGCTNAATTTTACTTACATTATTTGTGCTCTTTTGTATTGCTACACATAAATGAGTATTTGAAATTAACAACCGCTACAATAGCTTGTGTTAAACAATAACTAATTACAAATTGTTTATATTGAGTTATTGGGCTGCAATTTGAAATATGTTAGACCTATAAATTTTCACTGTCGTCCGTTTGTCTGTCCGTTGCCTGTCTTTCCTTAATCTCTACAACGTAGAAAATTGAGACCGTATACAGTAAGCTTAGAGGTTGGATGCCCCGATTAACTTTATACGAACCGGAAGACATATGATTGATTAATTAAAAATTGCTGCCCGGCTTTGTGACAATGACACAATAACATACAACAGATTTATTTGTTATCGAAACACAGCATTAAGTATAAAAAAGAAAGATCAGTGTTGAAATCGTGCACAGAACACAGTTTATGTCTTTATATAATGATACTTCCTCTACCATAGCCGGTTGGCATTATTATTTTTCTTTAATAAATTTGAAAATTTGTCACTTTAATTCATCTGTCAGCACACTTAAAACGGAGATTACTACTGTAAACAATTGCTTTCGATTTAATTTACAGGGTGTGATGAATAGGATGTCAAAGTTTATATCTTCTATAATCAATAACAGTTTTTAATGATGCTTTCTCGTAGTATCAGAGTGACTAATCAATAAATTTTTAATAATATTTACTTTAAACTATTGGCATTTAGAAGCCAATGATTTAAACTTACTTTAAACACGTTGCTAATTTTTAACTGTAGGGCATTTAGACGTTGCCATTATTAGAGATTCGATTTTATTTCATTAGCGAGGTTGCGGCCGAAGTTTTTAGGGAGGTTGCGGCCGACGTTTTCAACGCGAAAACGTGTACGTCGGACGTTCAGCACCGCTTTCCTATAAGTTTGCCTAGAAGTTTGACAATGGTGTTTGGATAGTCAGTGGAATCATGCTCGACGTCCCAAACACCATTGCCAAACTTCTAGGCCTTTAGGAAAGCGGTGTTGAACGTCCGACGTACACGTTTTCGCGTTGAAAACGTCGGCCGCAACCTCCCTAAAAACTTCGGCCGCAACCTCGCTAATGAAATAAAATCGAATCTCTAATAATGGCAACGTCTAAATGCCCTACAGTTAAAAATTAGCAACGTGTTTAAAGTAAGTTTAAATCATTGGCTTCTAAATGCCAATAGTTTAAAGTAAATATTATTAAAAATTTATTGATTAGTCACTCTGATACTACGAGAAAGCATCATTAAAAACTGTTATTGATTATAGAAGATATAAACTTTGACATCCTATTCATCACACCCTGTAAATTAAATCGAAAGCAATTGTTTACAGTAGTAATCTCCGTTTTAAGTGTGCTGACAGATGAATTAAAGTGACAAATTTTCAAATTTATTAAAGAAAAATAATAATGCCAACCGGCTATGGTAGAGGAAGTATCATTATATAAAGACATAAACTGTGTTCTGTGCACGATTTCAACACTGATCTTTCTTTTTTATACTTAATGCTGTGTTTCGATAACAAATAAATCTGTTGTATGTTATTGTGTCATTGTCACAAAGCCGGGCAGCAATTTTTAATTAATCAATCATATGTCTTCCGGTTCGTATAAAGTTAATCGGGGCATCCAACCTCTAAGCTTACTGTATACGGTCTCAATTTTCTACGTTGTAGAGATTAAGGAAAGACAGGCAACGGACAGACAAACGGACGACAGTGAAAATTTATAGGTCTAACATATTTCAAATTGCAGCCCAATAACTCAATATAAACAATTTGTAATTAGTTATTGTTTAACACAAGCTATTGTAGCGGTTGTTAATTTCAAATACTCATTTATGTGTAGCAATACAAAAGAGCACAAATAATGTAAGTAAAATTGCTCATATAACTGCGATTTTTAACAAAATAATACCGTATTTACCGGCGTGTAAGAAGCATTCCCATTTTTAGACAGTATTTATCAAGAAAAAACAGCGTTTATACGCCTGCTAATACGATAACTCTGATAAACAGGTCAACGTTTCCTTACTTTGACTTTTCGACTGTTCTGCAATATCTTTATTTAACAATAAAGTGTGCCTAAATGTTTGGAACTTTATATCGAATTCTTCGAACATACTCTTTTCCTGTTTTTTTAATTATATGCTCGACCTGTTAGTGAAAACAGTGCTATCTTAAAACAACCACCAAACACAACAGTTATAGTCGCTATCTTTTGGTTTTTATGTCACCAGTTGAATAGAAATAATAGAGATCATTAAAATCTGGTCTGTTTTTATTACTCACGTTACACTCAAAATGCCCTTCTAATTGATAAATGTCCTGTATTGTTCAATTCTTCAACTTTATAATATGTGATAAAGGCCCTGCTTTATTCAATAATTGAAAATAAAAGAAGAAGAAATATTACAATTATAATATTTTTCTATAAAACTATACATTTAGATATGATAGGAGCGACTGGGTTGTGAAGAACGGAGGCTTGATACATTACGCGCGCAATTCGAACGTAGAAGCATCGTTCGAACTCTGGAACGTTCGAATTTAGAGTTGTTCGAAATACGAAATACTACTGTATTCATTTTCTTAACGAAACACCGAATTCTTATATCCTATAATTCAGGAAATTTTCTAATAGCACGATTACGATTCATTTATTTTAAATGTTTATAGGTGAAATATAGGATCATCAAATACGGAATAAATTCTTATAAATTTATCTTTTATTGAATAAATAAGTGAAAAATTTCTTGTGAATTAGACAATTATTATTCTATATTTACTAATTTACACTAATAAGTAATTTTTTCATAGCATATTTTCTTCTTCCGGTGGTTGTAGAGAAACGTCTCCATTTTGTAATTTTGTATTCTTCCTAAATAAAAAAATTTTAAAATAATTTAATAATAAATTTTAATTAAAACAATGTATTTTCAGTTATAACAACATTATTATAAATTGTGTAATTTTCCCGCCTGTTATGAGATTTTATTTAAAAAATAACTTTTATATTATTAATTATAATAAATAAAATTATATGTGATGTCATCTAATTTAAGATTTTGTTATAAAAAAAACATTTTTATATTATTAATTATTATAAAATGGAAAATACTTAATTTTGAGGGTAGCAATGATTATTATTTTTTTAATTAAATTATAAATACAAATAATGAGTAAAGTCTTCATTAAGTCGACCCACGTGAGATATGACACGTAACCGCTCTCTATCTCCTCCCTCTCTCTACCTTCAACCATTAATGCCTTAATGACCCTTATACACAAGCTACCAAGCCAAATTTCGTTCCATATTCTTTACCTTATCCTGAGATATTAGAAAGGTTGTGGCTGAAGTGTTCATCTCTAAAACGTGAACGTCGAACGTTGAGCGCCACCATCTTGTTACTCTAGAAATTTGACAATGGCGTTTGGAACGTCGCTCATGATTCCAATGACGTTCCAAACGCCATTGTCAAACTTCTAGGATTACAAGATGGCGGCGCTCAACGTTCGACGTTAACGTTTTAGAGATGAAAACTTCGGCCGCAACCTCTCTATTAATTGAAATACATGCCAACACACACCCCAAAACACGTCCATATCCATGAAATGCTTTTCTTTTCTTGGCTTTTTTGGGTTCGGGGTATGAAAACGTGGAAATTTGCAAAAAACTCGGAGGTTCAAATTTGACACGATTCCAATACGTTCTCTTGTTATATATACAGTACATAGCAGCCCGAAAAGTAATAAAATACAGCAATTTACATTACTGAAAATATGAAAAAAGTTCGAAAGGTATGGAGAAATCATACTTTTGGCTTTTTGGGGGGCTGAGAATTAAAGCTATAGAACTCTTTGTACAAAAAGTATTTGTTCTCTAATTTGAGAACAAATACCTTTTGTACAAACAATCAGAGAAAAACAAAGACACTAAACGTCATTGTTAGAAATGTCGATCACTTAATTGATAGAAAAGATTTAACTAATAACAGAAGTATTGTCTGTACTCACGAGGAAAACACTCGATGATATACAGTGCTAAATAGGCAATTCTATTATTTTAGGTGATGTAAGCTACATCATATTGTTAACAATTACTTAAAGAACTATGGATTAGCTGTCTTAACCACTATTACGTATCAATTCTCTGTTAAAGAAGCAGAAATTAATTGCTTATTTGTATTGATATGCTAGCGATTTGTAATGATATTGCCAACCCAACCGAAGGTTATAAATTCGAAAGATTTACCTATACATGTATATTTTTAAGCATTTATATATATGTTCATTTATAATATTCATTAAAATATTTTTAATAGAAAACATTAAATATTTCTGTCTTTGTTAAGTTCTTATATAAATCAACAACGAAATGTTATTGAAGTTAAGTGAGCAATTATTTTATTAAGATCAATATTTTAACTTGATTGTGTGATTTATTAGTGCTAATAAGAATTTAATAACTCAATAAATGTATTGTAAATCGTAAATAAATATGTACGATTTTCCGATAAAACGCAAAAAAAACCGCATCTAAAATAGTAGACTAGAAGCCGAGTTTGTCAGGGTAATCCTTAATTAAACCCTCTCCCTTTCCCCGCGGGGGTAATTTCCAAAAATTTCTTTTTATTGTGCATTCTTATGACATACCCAAACTGTGTACCAAATTTAAACTTTCTAAATAATCTCGCTGGGGGACACTTTCCCTTGCAATATAAATGTCGAAAGGCGCCCAAACACTATCTAAAAACTGCCGAAAATCGACCGAAAGGTCAAAGGGCAGAGCCGGAATACTAAGGGAAAAAGGCTACTTTACGAGACACCTAATTTACACAGTTTCGCGTGGGCCGATCTCCTTCTAATCCAAACATTATTCAAAGGGTGTCAAGACACTACAAAAAAACTTTCCAAACGGACGCAAATGTCAAAGCTCAGAGCCGGAATAACAGAGGAAAAGACGACTTTCCCGGATGCCTAATTTGCATAATATTGCGAGGTCCCTGCAATGCAGGAACCTGTCCCCAAATGTCTAAAATACCCATAAAACTGCCCAATTCGTATCGGGGCGAAGGTCAAAGTTCAAATGCCCAATATCGCCTAAAAAAACTGTAGTTCTTCCCTTCTAATTTGCATAATTCCACATTCAAACTTTTTAATTTGCATAAATTCACGCTATTATATCACTTATAGATATAAAAACTATGATTAGTAATACAGTATATTAACTCTAGTATAGTGTAGTATTACTATAGTATATACTTTACACTTGTATGTTTTTCTATATCAGAAAATAATATTTATTTAATAAAGTCACTGTAAAATTATCGTAGTTTCACAATAGTTAAAAAATAGAAATAAAAAACACCAGCAACGAGTTGCTTAACTTTCCCGGCAACATTTAAAATTTTGATGGAGCCATCTGTTATGAAAAGTTTTTTTAATAAAATATATTTTTATTATAAAATGGCAAAAAGCTTTCGAGAGTAGTAGGGATTGGTTTTATAAAACATTGTAAATGCTAATAACGAGTAAAATCGTCATTAAGTCCGACCCTACTGGAGACACACACGAACCCTTTTTCTCCCACCCCCTCGACCTTTAACCACCAACATTTAATAGCATCAATAAGTACTTAATAAATAAATCACCCTAAAAAAATTCAGAAATTTTCGGCAAAAAGCATAAGAGTTATTAAGCTTCAAAGAGGGTGAACAAAATCTTGCCTCCACCCTAACTAACATACAGAAAAACCCCTGAATTTTTTTGCATTTCTCGACGTTTTAAGGTGTTAAGAGTGGATTTTTTTATCGATTTCCCTCTGTTATATATAACAGCTGGGAGAGTAAAAGGGGTTAAACCCGTGTCTAATTGAGACGTGTGTAGTGAGAGATTTATCTATTTATTCACTTCTATACCCGTGCGTGGCGCAGTTTAACTGATGTGCCAAGAGCAATAAACTAAAATGAATAACAAGACAATTCAACATGTTATTAAAAGAATCACACCATTTAATATTTCATTCAAAAAAACGTTTATAAACTTTAAAAAAAGCACACGAATCTTACCTGCAAACAGGAACAAAAAATGCATTTTTAAAGGTAGCAACTTTAAATTTATATAATAAAAGTTTCTTTTAATAGAAGGAGTTTCGTTCATATTTCCATCGAGTTTCTANTTTTCTAATTAAAAAATTCGAATATAATTTTGCTTTATTTTAATATTAATTCAGTACAAGTTTACAAATTGCAAGATTATGTTGTCTCGCTGTTTGAAAAATGTAATTACCAAAATAAGGGCTCGATTGTTCTAGTGCAAAGAGCTACAGCACCACTCTTTTGGGATGCCTGAAGAATCGCGTGTATATCAATAAACCTCTTATCATCCAGCAACTTATAGGCAATATTCAAAATAAACTTTAAGCACGGGAGAAAATCACGTTAGGAGCTGTTCAGGGAAATGCCGTAGGAAAAAAAAGAGAAAAATGGGGGTCATTTATGTGACATCATTTTCTACGCACAGCTTTAAAAAAATTTTCATTTTCTGTACTTTATTATGTAAATACTTGAAAATCCAAACCCCATACTTTTTTCACGGAGGTCGTTTCAAGATATTATGGGCCTGACCGAACCTATGATGGGTAGAAAAAAGGCCTTCTTAGAACCTTTTGATATTTTAAGATAGAACGGAGTTAGATAGATGAAATACGAGATCAGATATGGAAACCTTAGTGGCAGGAGACATGTGAATACGACGTCATAGAAGCATAGGATATACTATATGTGAACAGCGGATGCAAACCGGAAGTGACATAATTTCAATTCAAAATTTTCCCCTGATGGATCGATAATCTGCACGACTCTATTGTCAAAGGGAAAGTATGATGTACAGGGGCAAAGTCACTACTAATTTGAAATGGAAAGCATATATTTTAAATTAAATAAATTAAATTACATTTCTCTTTTAAAAATTTCCTACGCAAGTTTGAAGTTATCCGTCTTTCCTATATTCCTCCCATAAATAAATTCTGTGGAAATTCACCTATATTTCGGTGTGTTTTCACAGAAAATTCTCTTGGGGATGGCACTACTTGGAAGATTGCCTGTATGTTGCATTGCCTTAGCCCATCAACCAAACCATCGAATGAGTTTCGTAACAGAATAGTCCTTTGAAAAAATCATTGAAATCTATAAAATTCCCTCTTTCAGCTAAATCCTTGCAATTTCTAAAAAGCTTAAAGCTAAAATGATGTTGTAATCCATATTAAAATTTTTTTAATGGTTTAAACTATTTTTAAAATTCTATTACGAAAATAACTTTTATATTATTAATTATTATAAAATAGCAAAATGCTTAATTTTGAGAGTGGGGACGTGTTTAAACAAATATTGTAAATGCAAATAACGAGTAAAATCTTCATTAATGGTATGCAGAAATCATACATTTAACTTAACTACAGAATTATATTGTATCGTATGAGCTTACCTGATGATCGTATTTTTGTACATGCTATATCTATGAAATATAAACATCGTTATAGCACTAATTGCAGAAATTATGCTAGCAGCCAAAAAAGTAGTCCTTGCACCATAATAATCAAATCCTAATCCTCCAAGAATATTTCCTATAGCCATACCTAGAGAAAAAAATTTAAAAAATAAATAATACACGTGTTTTTCCATATGATACTTAAATCATAAATAATATTATAGTTAATTAACCTCGAGTGTGGCATCCTGTATTTATTTTTTTTATATGCNGAATACAAAATGGATTGATTTTAATTCAAAATAATCAATGACGTATAAAAAAGATCCAGCAACGAGTTGCGTATCTTTTTCCGTTGTTAACACATTCTATTACGAAAATAACTTTTATATTATTAATTACAATACAATAAATAAAATTGTCTGTGGCGCCATCTCTTATGAAATTTTGTTATAAAACTTCCTGTATTTTTAATTATTATCGAATGAGTTTCATAAAATTGTAAATGTTAATAACGTATACACCATCTTCATTAAATCTAACACATGACCTCCCTCGACCTTTCACAACCAAAATTTAATAGCATCAACGCTCCTCGTATATAGTAGGAAAAAGATACAAATGACTGATTAACTAATATACACCATTCAACTGTATGTAGGGCCATTCACCTGTTTCTCTGTCACAACTGATGGCAACATTCCTAATTATACGTTGCCAAACATTAAAGAACTGTCACATAAATTTTATCGAGAGGAACTTGTACTAATTTTAGAACATGTTGGCACTATTCAACTATAACGATTCGCTGACATTATATAAGTCATTTTGCTTAGTTTTATACCTATCCAGTTATTTTAAAACTTCTATATTTCTATGTTAAAGTTTCAACACTTTAACATAGAAATTGAAAAGAACATTGTGATTTAATTAAATTATTTATGTTTATTTATATTAATATAACTGGTTAATACAATTGAGTACAGTAGCAACACGATAATGTCGAGAATGTCACGTGATATGTACTCGTTCAGTTAATGATCGTACTGAACGAGTTTGTACCACGTGATACTCTCAACACTTTCGTACAATTCCAGACTTGTCCAGGTATTATTTTCATGACGAAATACTTGGCATATTGTTCTTGCTCGTGCATTTTTATGTTTATGATGCATTGCATACGATATATAATTCAGTTATAGTATACAATACACGAGAACCAGTCGTTAAACGAGCCTTCATAAATCGAATTTTAATTTTTATCATCAGCTCGTAAACTGAGGCTTTATACAACTAGACCCCCCCTATAACACTGTAGATAATTCCGTGTTATATGAATTCCATGTTGTACGAGTCACTTATATTTTACAAATACGTGTGCCAGGCTGTGAACGGCTCACGTATTTGTAAAATCTAATTGACTCCTATAATATGGAATTCATATAACACGGAATTATCTACAGTGTTATAGGGGGGGTCTACTTGTATATAGAAACTAAATATATTATGATAAATTCTTAGACGTTGTTTTAAACACAATAGAATGTATAAATCTAGAATAAATTATAATATGTAAATAGACGAGTGATTGATTATTGGGTACTTGCCAGTAGGAAATATTTGGCATTTCCGTTTGACCTAAAACCACTTGGCACTTTGTATTTAGTCGAGTAAATAGGTTAAACAACAAATCGTAAAGTTAAGTATTTAAAGGAAAAGACATATTCAACTTACCTAAACCATCAAATAGAGCTCCTAGTACACCTTGTAACGTGGCTTCGGTTCCAGGGATTGCAGACTTTTTTGCAAACGACGTCATAGAAGCATAGAATATACCGAAAGTTAATCCGTGTGTAAACTCAACAGGAAGTGTTATCCAGGGATTGTATATATAAACATAAGCAAAAAATCGAACGGAGAATGCTACAAAAGCGATGATAACCGAATTAAAATGGCCGATTTTATTGATTATTTTTCCAGCGTAGAAAAGGCAAGGAACTTCCGTTACGAGCCTTATAAGTACACTAAGACCTATTAAAAGGCCTGTAGCACCGATTTCGCTCAGAAACCAGAAGAAATAGACAAAATATAATCCACTCAAAATGCCATTCATGCACACAGCGACTCCAAAAACGACATTTCTTAGTTCGGAGTATAACGAACAAACGTCTTTACATATTGTTTTTGAGGTTTGTTTCTTATTTGATTTCAAATCTAGTCTCATAATTGTAATGACGTCAATTATAAGGAAAGTTGCCATAACGTATATAGCTACAGAATAATTTTTCTCGTTGTCAGACGTGGTTACATCAAGAAGATATCCCGTTAACACCGGAGATACGCTTCTTCCTACAGAACCCCACAGCCTCTGTTTACCATAATTTCCAGTCTTTCCATCAAGCATATCGTAACATAAGGAATCTGACAGACTGTGTAAAGTACGTCTTCCCATTCCTGCAAAAACATTTGCAAGGAAAAATAACCAGAACTGATTGGTTTCGTATTCATTATCCACTTGGCAGCATCTTTCGTCACAACCACACACAATTTCACAATGGGAAGTGTGATTCAACACGCAATCAATGCTTACATCAGATAAATTGAAGGTAATTCGATGATTTAACGTAATCAAAGTTACGTTTAACGTATCCTCATTTGATGATTCTTCGCAAGTGATGTTCCCAACATCATTGATGGCACAATCTACACATTTCTTGGAGCATGTTATCGTTTTATTGAAATCTGATGAGCACGTCATATTAGGATAGTCCAGTGTAGGAGTGTATATATCACAGCCTTGTTCTAATGTTATGGTGTTGTTACGTCTCAACGGTGGTATAAATATTAAAAATATATAAAATATGATAACTGTCAATATAAGGATGATGAAGAGGATTTTTTCTTTTTTAAATCGATCGGCTAACCAACCAAAAAGTGGTTTGGATGCTAATGATAAACATGGTATGAAAGAAAAAATAATTCCAATACCCGTAGCTGATATTCCTAATTGCTTTCCATAAAGAGGTAAGTAAGGAGCGATGCATGCGATACCTGAAATGATAAAAATTCTCGATTAATTACAAGTAACAAATGGGGGAGGAGAATTGGATTACAACATTTGTATACGACAACGCGACACGTGGGCAAACTATCGAGGGAGGATGTCTTCCGGGAGGACTTTCTACAGAAACTGGCCCCCTATTTAGGCATTACAAAATGAAGAACACCCGGAAATCTCCACGTTGGAGAGATGCGAATCCACGACCAACTCCAGTATTCAGTAGTTTTGTCCACTCGGTCACTGTTGGGTTACTTTATATAAGAGTGTAGATGGTAAAAAATGCAAATTCTTTAGAGAAATTATACGGTTTATTTGGAATAATTAAAATAATAATTACGAGAGAAGTAAAGTAAATTGTTTTATGTAGTGTTTACTGCAATGTGGAAACACATAAGAAAGTGGTAAAATATCGGCTAATAAAATATAGATTTTGACTTAATTAATGATACTAATACTAACATACTGTACATATTTATAAAGTTAATGATGGCACTAAAATATAACTCTATGTCAATATTAACGCGTTATATATATATATTAAAGTCTGACTCTTGATTGATTTCTAGGTTGGGAACACGGACCTTAAGGTTGAAAGTATTAAATTAATAAATCTTTTTCAACAATTACAATTATTTACCTATAAAGTGGAATGTTTGTCTGTTCTTTTCACATTTATAAACCCTCTAAGAATACTGCGAAAAATATAGACTACATTAAATCTGTGTACCTCACACCTCTTGACTTCATCCCTTGACACTTTGTGATAAACATAACAACAAATTACTTTCTGCCTGGTGAAAAGTAATAAGTAATTTAAATTTCTGAAAATTATTGTATTTATTGGGCAGCAATTTTCAAATTGCAGATCTATACATTTTCACTGTCGTATGTGTCAGTCAGCTAGTTTTATAGTCAAATTATTTTATATAAGAAGAAACTATCTATCTAAAGAATTCAAAATCAAAGAATTATTTGGCCCTCCCCATTCTGAAACTTGTGATAGGCAACAAAAAATTGGGTCTTTTTACCCTGAAGGCCCGTAACGGAATCTTGCAAGTTGCAAGAAGTACAATGCGACGATACCCGAGCCTTTCGAAAGCCTGATTAGTTATTAATACTCTTAACGAAAATATAAACTTCGTAAGGCCTTATAAATAACTTTTGCATCGAGACCGTTGGCACTCTTGCTTCGTTGCTATTGCATCCGCTAAGAGTGTGGGACCTCCTTGCATCCGCCATTATTCGTGCCAATCTTGAGTTCGTCCAGGCCTAAAAATAGGGCCCGGCATATCCACGCCTATTACCTATAGAAATTACCTGTAGAAATTTAAAGATTCGAATTTTAGAAACCGAATCCAATATCTTGGAAGGATCTCCATGAAAAAAATTTGGGGTTTGAATTTCCAAGAATTGTCAGGAATGGAAGTTTTTCAGATGAATATGAAGACAAAATTTAAAATTTATGAGAATTATATAGTAAAATATATAATATAGACAACTGCAATGGTTCGGGTTTGTGGAGAGAGTATCTAAACTGGTATTTGGAGCACGAATTAAAGGACAAAGAAAGGATAAAATAAACCAAAATTATGAAAAATAATTATGGGGAAAATACGCTACACATTGCTCGTAAGACATACAAAAAACCGAGAAAAAATCTCCATCAACGAGTTGCATAACTTTCCCGGCCAAACTTTAAAATTAAATGTGGTGCCATCTGTTACGAGATTTAATTAAAAAACTATTTTCTATATTTTTAAATATTATAAAATGGCAAAAAGCTTTCGAGAGTAGTAGGGATTGGTTTTATAAAACATTGTAAATGCTAATAACGAGTAAAATCGTCATTAAGTCCGACCCTACTGGAGACACACACGAACCCTTTTTCTCCCACCCCCTCGACCTTTAACCACCAACATTTAATAGCATCAATAAGTACTTAATAAATAAATCACCCTAAAAAAATTCAGAAATTTTCGGCAAAAAGCATAAGAGTTATTAAGCTTCAAAGAGGGTGAACAAAATCTTGCCTCCACCCTAACTAACATACAGAAAAACCCCTGAATTTTTTTGCATTTCTCGACGTTTTAAGGTGTTAAGAGTGGATTTTTTTATCGATTTCCCTCTGTTATATATAACAGCTGGGAGAGTAAAAGGGGTTAAACCCGTGTCTAATTGAGACGTGTGTAGTGAGAGATTTATCTATTTATTCACTTCTATACCCGTGCGTGGCGCAGTTTAACTGATGTGCCAAGAGCAATAAACTAAAATGAATAACAAGACAATTCAACATGTTATTAAAAGAATCACACCATTTAATATTTCATTCAAAAAAACGTTTATAAACTTTAAAAAAAGCACACGAATCTTACCTGCAAACAGGAACAAAAAATGCATTTTTAAAGGTAGCAACTTTAAATTTATATAATAAAAGTTTCTTTTAATAGAAGGAGTTTCGTTCATATTTCCATCGAGTTTCTATAACGATAAATTATATAATTATCTTAAAAAAAATAAAAACAATAAATAAAATATAATTAAATGAACCTACTTTATCATCAGACAACTTCAATATTTCTACGTTGCCTTCACCAGCTTCACTTAAAGTAATTTCTGCAGGTAAATCGACCATGATAACGACAACGTTATAAATCACTAATATTAAATAAGAAACGAAATCTTCATTTTTATAACAATAAAAATTAATAATTAAACATTATTATTATTGCGCGATAATTTCAATCATTTTTTTAAAAAAATATCTAATATTAAACAGACAGTAAGAGAAAGAAGAAGAAGGGTGTTGTTGTGTCAACAGGGAGTAGATAATAGGCTTTGTTAGTGTATTATATTTAAAAACCTATATAAAATTAAAAGAATACCTGTTTGAAACAGCTGTTTGGGAGTGAAGTTTAGCTAGAAAGCTACAACAAGCTGTTGGAAATAATCCAAACCTGAATGATGCAAGTATATTCAACATGGAAAATTACCAATGCATTCAAGGTTATATATTCTTTTATTTTATTTTTATTTATTTCATAAATCATTTGTCTGTTCATTCTCTATACAACAAAAGAATTATTTTTTAATCACTTCACTTTAATATATTAGTTTAAAAGGCTGGAATTTTAACTAAAGATGTTCCTTATAAAAAGTCAATTATATTAAAAATTGTATAGGAATTTTATTCATTTTTTATTTAAATTATATTTTAAAATTTAATTATTATTATTATTATTATTTATGAGAGGTAAAGTACGTTTCTTATTTAATATTTTCTCAGTAAATTTATGACTAATTAAAATAACCTCCAAATAACTGCCATTCTTTTAATGTTCCCCCTGTCAATGGAGGTTCGACTTTATAAAAGAAATTAATTAAAATAAATTATAAATATAATAAATAAATATAAAATAATAATTATTATTATTATATTCGAGTCTGCACCTGTAAACGGAGCCATTTTTTTTTCAGGAACGTTTCTTTTTGGGAATTTAATANTGCACCTGTAAACGGAGCCATTTTTTTTTCAGGAACGTTTCTTTTTGGGAATTTAATATCGTCAAGTCGAATGTAACTAGATCCAGATGGAAGGATTCTGGTTACACTTGTATCTAAGTAGATAATTGCCACCAGAACCCTTCTATCTCGGTCTAGTAACAATTACCTATCTTGATAATCTTAATAAGTCCTTGTTAGAGAGTTTCTGACAGAGATATCACTGTAATATATTGAAGATGATTATAACCAGGTGCATAGTGTTGATTTGACACCTTTAAACACAGTGTAGAGACCGGAAATTTAAATCTTTTTTTTGTAAAAAAAGGAAGGAGAGGTAATAAAAAAACTGTTTTTATTTGTTTTGATAGAATTTATTAATTTAAAAATAAATTAAGTCCTAGTTGACAATTTAAGCATAAATATAATATAGTCGACCCCCTATAACACTTGATTATTCCGTTTTATATGAATTCCATGTTATACGAGTCACTTAGATTTTACAAATACGTGTGCCGGGCTGTGAACGGCTCACGTATTTGTGAAATCTAAGTGACTCGTACAACGTGGAATTCATATAAAACGGAATTATCAACAGTGTTATAAGGGGATCAACTGTGTACTTACTGGTCGTCGTTTACAGGTTCTACTGTATTATATTTTTATAATAATTTATAGAATTTATAAATGCAGGTCAATGAGAGTGTAGTATTTTTATAATGTACACAACTTATATGTTAAGCTAAATACAACTGTACGCCTTATGTTGTACTATAGTTTCTTTAATTGTACATAAGGTAAATTTATAATAGAAGGAAAAGCAATTTACAAGGTCATGCTATTGAGGGCAACAACTTGTTTAAATGTACACTTACAACCTGATGTATTTTCTTCTTTTATTTTTTATAGAAATTTTTGTCTTTAATTTATCTCATCTTATGTTTAAAAAAAGTGAATAAATAATGTGTTAATTTAATTATTTAGAATAAAAATATGTATTAATGTGTATAAAAAATATTTTAAAATGTATATATATATTGGCATGACCTAAATATATTCTGTAATTGTTAATATTATAAGGAAGAAATTTAATATTTTCTTTATTTTCTTAGGTAAAAACTTGAAAGAGGTTACGAAGAAAAGGAGTTCTTCAGGCAAAATTTCATTATGTAACTATAAATATGTGACTATAATTACTCTCAAGACTGGTATTGCTTCTAATGAAGCCTTTAGAATGTAATAAATAGGCTACACCTACATTAGATCCTGTTTTTTGACGACTTAGGCATAGTTGTCAAATCGTCGTAAAGCGAGTCCTGTTTCTTTGGAGGTTCGATTGTGTTGTGTGTCCATACAGAAACTATGAATATTTAATTGACAGGACGAAATTCCAGTTCCAAACTTAATTAAAGTGGTGAAATTAAGTTTATTTTATTTAAAATTTATCTAAGTTATGAGAAATATGTGACAAATGTAATAATTTATAATTATTTTATGTAAAAGTTTCATTAATCTGAAGAAAGTTCACTCATTGAGATGCAAAGCAATGATCTTGTGAATACGAGTATGGCATTCTCCTACAAAACTATGTGGTCTATAATGATATATTTTGCAGAAATTACTCATNAATAAATTAAGTCCTAGTTGACAATTTAAGCATAAATATAATATAGTCGACCCCCTATAACACTTGATTATTCCGTTTTATATGAATTCCATGTTCTACGAGTCACTTAGATTTTACAAATACGTGTGCCGGGCTGTGAACGGCTCACGTATTTGTGAAATCTAAGTGACTCGTACAACGTGGAATTCATATAAAACGGAATTATCAACAGTGTTATAAGGGGATCAACTGTGTACTTACTGGTCGTCGTTTACAGGTTCTACTGTATTATATTTTTATAATAATTTATAGAATTTATAAATGCAGGTCAATGAGAGTGTAGTATTTTTATAATGTACACAACTTATATGTTAAGCTAAATACAACTGTACGCCTTATGTTGTACTATAGTTTCTTTAATTGTACGTAAGGTAGATCTATAATAGAAGGAAAAGCAATTTACAAGGTCATGCTATTGAGGGCAACAACTTGTTTAAATGTACACTTACAACCTGATGTATTTTCTTCTTTTATTTTTTATAGAAGTTTTTGTCTTTAATTTATCTCATCTTATGTTTAAAAAAAGTGAATAAATAATGTGTTAATTTAATTATTTAGAATAAAAATATGTATTAATGTGTATAAAAAATATTTTAAAATGTATATATATATTGGCATGACCTAAATATATTCTGTAATTGTTAATATTATAAGGAAGAAATTTAATATTTTCTTTATTTTCTTAGGTAAAAACTTGAAAGAGGTTACGAAGAAAAGGAGTTCTTCAGGCAAAATTTCATTATGTAACTATAAATATGTGACTATAATTACTCTCAAGACTGGTATTGCTTCTAATGAAGCCTTTAGAATGTAATAAATAGGCTACACCTACATTAGATCCTGTTTTTTGACGACTTAGGCATAGTTGTCAAATCGTCGTAAAGCGAGTCCTGTTTCTTTGGAGGTTCGATTGTGTTGTGTGTCCATACAGAAACTATGAATATTTAATTGACAGGACGAAATTCCAGTTCCAAACTTAATTAAAGTGGTGAAATTAAGTTTATTTTATTTAAAATTTATCTAAGTTATGAGAAATATGTGACAAATGTAATAATTTATAATTATTTTATGTAAAAGTTTCATTAATCTGAAGAAAGTTCACTCATTGAGATGCAAAGCAATGATCTTGTGAATACGAGTATGGCATTCTCCTACAAAACTATGTGGTCTATAATGATATATTTTGCAGAAATTACTCATNTTATTAAAATTAAATACAGTATCCCGCTTTAACATTCTAATTGATTTTTTGCATGCATTGTTAAACGTGTCGTCGTAAAACGAGCCCTTCTTTTCCTTTAAGTTCAATGTGATCAAACCTGTTTGGTTCATCCAAACATACTTTAAAGGGTAACTTAGCTACCCCAGTGAACTGAATTCCATTGCTTGCAATAATTTTCACTCTTGACATTATAAACAATTTATTCTCGAGTTTATAAACTGAAGTGTTGAGTCACCTTGGTTTATTTTGGGTCATTGTGGGCAACAATGGCCACTGACAAAAAACATAAAGCGTGACCGTCGTTTGGAGGTTATTTTTATACGCACTTTACAAAGAAACGTTCCTTAAAATTGGCCAGTAAAAATAGCTTAAAAAATTTATTTCATACCTTAAACACTTAATTATATTCAAACCAAATAAAGTTAAGTTATTTATATATTTTAACTTTAATTAATTACCTTTAAATTGATTTTAAAATTCCTTTTTTAAGCTTACCTTTTATAAAAGTGATATTTTAACAGGAAACTTGTCAGAATATTCTTTGTACTGTACATGCCAACTGATGTTGGTTTAAAAGTTGTTAAAAAGTGGTTGGGAAGGTGTCTTTCCAGTTTTAAAATTCAGTGTAACTAGTACACAATCATTAAGATTTTTTTTAAATATTATAATCTATATTATTTCTTAGAAGTGAAGCTAAAAAATCAAATTTATATTTTATATTTTACTTCCTTTATTAATAAATATTTAATTATTTTTAGTTTAATTTCTTTTACTAAATTTTACAAATCTAAACTATAATATACATATATATAAGGCTCCTTTTTGAGGGGGGCATAAAATATTATAAACTTTTTATATAACTTCTGAATGACGGACACTGACGGGAAGATTTTAAAAAAAATGGCCGTAATTTGGAGGTTATTTTGTAAACATTTTAGAAGGAAGGTTTACAGTTGACCCCCTATAACACTGTTGATTATTCCGTTTTATATGAATTCCATGTTGTACGAGTCACTTAGATTTTACAAATACGTGTGCCGGGCTGTGAACGGCTCACGTATTTGTGAAATCTAAGTGACTCGTACAACGTGGAATTCATATAAAACGGAATTATCAACAGTGTTATAGG